TGTGATATCAATAGTAGGGGCTAGAGACATCCAAGTAGCAGAAGAGATGAGTCCACTAAACAAAGTTTTTTGCATATTTAAAAATATCTTTCTAGAAATTCTGGATTTGTTTCTTTCCTTCCACCGCTACTTTTTGGGAGAGAGGGTTTGTTTGAAGCTTTTCTTTCTTAGATAAACAGTCATGAGAGTCCAGAGGAACATCAGAAGTTGTGGCTGTGACCCGCTCCAAGGGACGCAGCATAGCTGGATCCCTGCATCCATCCCTGCACCCAAGTATTGAGGTCAACATTTCCAGAGTTAATATCCTCATTTCAGATCTCCCACATAACTGCAATTCCTGCTACCAAGTAAGCCACCTAACCTCATGTGTAATGTCACCCCAGCTGTCTCTCTACACTGTCTCTTCCAGCACAGGACAGCAGGCAGCTCTGGCTGGCAAGTATTGCTGCAGTTTGCCAGCGCTAAAATCCAGATAATCCAAGGTGCTTAAAGTAAAGATGCTGCTTGTAACCTCCACTTACACTTTAGATTTACTCTGCTGTGTGCTTGTAAAAACAGAATTACTTCAGGAAGGTTTCACTGCGTGAGCACTAGGGCATTTTGATTTTTTACCATGTCAGCAAAACAGTGGGGAGTATGATCAGTGCTTGACAGCTTGGGTAATTCAAATGCAAATGTATAAACCCTGTCAGTCAAGGGAGAAATAGGCAATTAAATAAAGACATCTCCCATGACAAGGGCAATTAAATGGGCTGCTTTTCCTCTTACTGTGCAAAGATTTTCCTTAATTTCCTGTCACTTGCTGAGCCAGCTTTGGCTTTTCTGCCTAGGCTAACAGCCCAGGTGTCACCACTCTCACAGGTACCTCTTATCCCCTTTCCCCTTGCACCAAGGAGGAGGAGAGCAGGCCAACAGGCAAACACAAACTCCCTCTTTGCTGGGATGAGCTGAGCAATAGCTGAAGAAATCCACTGCCTTGACAGAGCACAGCAGCAGGGCAGACAGATGTCCTTTCCCTGCCAACCTCATTTACAGTCCTTCAAAAAACACATACACCCCCATCAACTGCTTGTTTCCTTGCTCTTGTATACTCAGCCCTCCTGCCTTATCGCTCATGGAAGGTGGCCTTAAGCACACACAGGCCTTAACCCTCTGCTGGCTGCTCTGCAAATTTGACAAGCTTGGAAGAAAATGTGTCTCACTGACAGCTCCCACTGCTCCTGTGAATGCAGCTAGACAGATTCGAGTACCATGCACCCAGTGGAGTAGTCTCACAGAAAATACATTTCTAATATTAACTTTTTTGCTCTTTCTTGAACATTTTCAAACAATTTAACTTTAGTGTGGTGCAATCTGATGATTGTACACAGAGCCAGCCTAGGCACCTGGGGATCCTTTGGCTATGCCCTACCTAACCAAAGCTGTGCAGGCATGTTCATCTGCATCTATACGCATGCAGAGCACCTTGCAGGCTTGGAGGTTCCCACTGGCCGGAAAGCTGAGATCAGCAGTTTGTCCCTCTGTTTCTCCTTGAGAGAAGCTTGTAAGTGAGCAGCCAATCCTCTGGACAACCACTACGTCTTAGTGGGTCAAACCACTCAGCAGCTTTAGGTGCTCTGTGTGGGATGTTGGCACTTAGCCGAGTGTTTGCAGTCACCAGCAGATGATGGATTCAGTATTATTAGCCCTGCCTAACACATGGGAAAGTGGAAATGGGAGGAATAGAATTATAACAGTAGAAACTATACCAATGCAACCATGATGTGGACTATGCAAAAATCTATTAAAACTGGGACTCTTGTTTTCAGAAGGTGATCCAAAGCAACAGGGTTGATTTGTACAATTGCCGTAGCACATAGCATACGTCTCTCACTGCTCTTTCCCATACTGTATTTGCGCATCACACCTACCCATTGCCTTTCAACTTGTGGTCTCATCTTTGGAAATGACCCTGTTGTATCACACACCAATACTTTCTTTACACAGCACATTTCTGACTCCTGCAATAAAAGGTCTCTCTCAGCATTACCACGATACCTTCAGTAATGCCAGCAGTTGTTCCCAGTCACTTTTGTCAACGGAAGTCTACTGGAACTGAAGGGGGTTTATTATTATTTTTTTGCAGAAGATGAATTATAGGTGAAAGGTCTGTGGTGCACTGACAAGTCTCCCTTTCCTGGGAGACAGTGCCATGTGATGCTATTCACAGCAGGTAGTTTAGGAGTTTTTCTCTCCCACGGTCTATGGCTTCAAATCATGAGAACAGGGACATTCACATGCTTTATGTGGGCATCTCAGGTAGGATTCACATCACTGAACATTAGCCATCTCAAATATGGGCATCTAATCTGTGCTAAACAACAAGGCTTCCTCTATTTCTAAAGGAGGATATAGGTATCCTCATACAGTAGTTTATCCTGTCTCCTCTGGAGGCATCTCTTTCCATGCTCTAGGAGACACCTTGTGCTCCTGGAGCGGCTCCTCACCTCAGACAACAAAAGCCAAGCGAGATGTGTTGTGCCTGAGCAGTGCTACCTGCTGGACTCCCTAGTCATCGTGTTACCCTATTCTCACTGCCATGCCCCTGTCTTCTGAAGTCATTTCCCTGCAGGGCTGCGCTGCCACTCATCCTTTGTGCAACACCACAACTGACCTTGGATAGGGTTGTCTAAGACAACCGCCAGTGCCGGGCTCAGCATCTGTCTACCCCAGAGGCCACAGCAACATGTTGGGATGCTGGTCCCTTCACAGACTCAGGCAGGCACTACCATGCTGGTCACAGTCAACTCACATCCTGGAAGATTTCCCTGTACATTTTAAGTTCATTTTTCTAGTGATTCTGACATGATTAATACTGGGTCCTAGAGTTCACAGTGACAGTTTAAAGAAAATAAAGATAGGCTAACAGACTGTGAGCTGACAAAATATAGACTGTATTATTTTATCAAAAAATTAACCTAGCACTGCAGTTAATATACTAAAACAGAAACTTCAGCAAACATAATAGATAAGGGCCATTTGTGGTTCAGTGCACAGCATTTAAGATGCATAGATCTAACAAAGGTAAAAGTTTCATTATTATCTGCTCCTCCAATGGACAAGAGCTGCATTAGAAAAGGGTAAAATGATACCTTGGAAATAGGAACATAAAGTCTTCTCCCACATGCATGCCTGTCTCCCTTATAGCCAAGTGGCATTAAGAAGTGTGGTAATATTTGATCACCAGTGCAGCACAATGGTTAACAGGATCCAGATAAAGCTGAAGTTCAGAATTTAGTCACCAAACCCCAAGCTTGCCACAACTGCTATTTTCTGTTCTGTTCGCTCACTTCAGACAAAAAACTATCAATGTGCTGCTCAGTAAAAGCATTTGCAATGTTTACTTTATGTAGCACGTGATCAGAAAGCAACAAATCTCTCAAATTTAATCTTCTTTATGATGCATTTTTCTTCTCCTGACAACCCTTAAAACAATTCACATTACAGCTTTGAAAAGGTGAGTTTCCTGGATAAATACTTACTATTCTCCTAACATTTTCTTCGAGCAGTCAGGGGGAACCAGCCACCACATGAAACTCAGGAATAAAGGTGTTGGTGGTCCTTTACTAGGGCATTCGTGCAGTTTTCTTATTTTCTCAACATTTTTAGAGCAAATTGCTTGAAGCCTTTTGTCTACATATAGGTCTGTTTGATGTCTGCTATTGGGGCAGACAGTGCTATTTTCATAAGTACCCCGACATGGAGGGATTACTGAACATATTGACTAGCCTGTCTCTGAAACACTATGGAGTCGTCTGCTTTTATTGAGACCACATACTGTATATTGAAATATGTGTATGAACTACCTTGAAAACTGAACAAATATATTCTGATGTTTTATAGTAGGTTAGAAGGAGAGACACAGAGTGGCATGTAAGAAACTACTTACTGCAAACCCAGTTTCATTTCTTTGTGGTCAAGAAATACAACCCCCAACTCCTTTTTGAGCAAAACAAAACTGAAATAAGTTTTCTTACTGGAAATCCTAGCACTTCTATGAGACTTTATAACTTTAGCATGATTACAATGTATTCCTTAATCTCTTTCTGAAGCATCCAAATCAGAAACAATATATCTTGGATTCTATGATGTACATAGGAGTTTCTGTATAAAACAACAGTCTAACAAATATTTAGAACCTTTCCAGAAAGGCAGACTTCATCCTTCTAAATAGCATTCAAATTAAAATATCTTTTGAATTTAAATCTGAATGCTTTGAAAGTTTTCCAAAGCCTCACAGAAATCTAAAATAGAGCTGGCTTATTAGAAGCAGCTCATTTGTTAAAGTCAAACTTAGTTTCACATATTCTAAAATAGCATAGCTACATGTTATTTTTATTAAACAGTAGTGGAAGACAAAGTTTCCTAACCAATAAGACAAATCAGTTTTGACTGGATAAAGGGCCAATGGTTTAATCAGGGGAAATATACCAGCTATTGTGAACTGAGATTCCTGGCTTTGGGCATCCTCATTTGAATATTTTGGAATATATTTCATGAAATATTGCCTCATGTGTAATTAGCCTTAAGGAAGCAAACCACTAGAAAGAATTGATTCAAACTGTGCTTTAAACTGCTACCTCAGTACCTTCACACTTCATGAAATGTGGTTCAATTATCTTTTTGGCAAATTTGAACACGCTAGCTTTCAACAGAGCTTCATTAATGGTATTTTCTCTCTCAGGTCTTTAGCTTGATCTGCTCTTGTTTTTCTTTTAATTAAGCTAGAGTATTAGCTAAACTGCACAAGCATTTAGTTTAGCCTAGAAAAATTATTCTGTGTTCAGCCTGCTTCCTCCTCAAGTTGTGTGCTTGTAACTATCAGAAATGAAATGAAGTTGTTCTTTTCCCTCATTAGGTTAAAAATATGCTTGTTACCTGAAAATATGAGTTCGTAATCATGTATTTTATGGACTTGTCATTATGCAGACTTCTTTTCAAGGCTACAGCAGCCAGCTTACCTGTCAGCTGAGAGAGCAGTGAGAGTAAAGACTGACACCCCTACAGAGGTGAGCTGTATGAAGGGGATAAGTTTGCATCCAGTTCTGCCGAACAGCCACTCGTCAGCAAGGTACCTGCTGGCATCCACAGGCACACAAGTCACTAACAGCAGCAGGTCTCCTAGAGCCAGACTGGAGATGAACAAGTTAGGGACATTTCTCATAGATTTCACAGTACAGAAGATCTTAATCAAAGTGATATTGCCAATAAGGCCTATCAAAATGATGATGCCGTAGATTGTGGGGATGGCATAGAGGAACGCTGGGTAGAACCAGTCATCACTGAGGAGGGAGAGGTTTGCACTCTGGTTGACAGAGAAGTTGTAGAGAATGAAGTTATCTGTTTCTAGGTCTAGCAGGAGGCACTCTTCAGATGCCATTGTCCAACGTTGCTCTTCTCAGAAGACAGCTTTCTTCTTGGGAAATGATCAAAATAAATTTCTGGCTTTAATTTTGCTGTTGCTTGCTGCCTTTAAACAGTCAGAAGAGTCTAAAAGTCATACCATACTTTGTGACAGATCTTGACAATAAACAAACCGAAAAGCAGCTGCAGCTTGCACAACAGTGCTGTTTCCATAAGGTGAAAGGAGAACATCTTTTCATAGTTTGAATCCTGAAACTTGCCTTTTCCTCATTGACTTGTCTTTCTGTCAGGTATTCCTCAGCTCTGGAAGGCCATTTATCAAATTCAAAGACCAGTAAGTGGGAGACATTTTCACAGTGGAGGCTTGCTAAATTTTCAGCTCCAGGTCTGCTGAGCAGAACCAAGTCCGAAACAAGGGAATTATAAAAAGCAAGAACTTTTGGTAGTTGTTGTCACGCTGCATAGCCAATCTCTCCTTCTTCCAGCACCTGCGCTTGCCAGCTGGATTTAAAGTGAGGAAAAAGCAGGGCTCCGCTGACAGCTCGGATCCTATAGGCAGGATCTTCTGGACGTCAATTCTTCCCCCGCTTACCAGGATGAGAGCAGTCTTACTGAAATGACTGCGGTAATTCCAGGCGAGCGCCGGAGAATGCCAGCCACCTACCGGAGAGTCTAATCACTGCCGGGGAGCAGGGGGATAGAAAACATACCAACATCAACGTTAACTCTTTAAAAGGTAAAAAAGGAAATAATAATTAAAAAATCTGCTAATTTATAGCTCGAGAGATGAAGCTCACTGCTTCCCTCCCCCCACCCCCAAAAGAAAGAAAACAAATAATTAGTTCATACTGCAAATAACGTGATCAGAAAAGCAATTGCACCTTCTTAAATAAAAGCACACATGCTTTGCACTCTGGTTTGCACTCTGGAATTCAATTTTTCCAATGAAAGGGAATAATGATGTGGAGCCAAGTTCATCCCCCCCAGGGCAAATTAACTAAGTAAAGCCAATTAAGATAAAATCAGCATTATAGTTAAGGAAGGCAAATGAGTTTTAGCACTAAGTACCTGCAGTTAACCAGGGAAGCCTGAACTCTGCACATCTTTTTTTTAATGCTTTTAATTTGGGGGTAAGAATAACAGGGGACAAAGTTTACCATTCAATGCAATCATTTTTCTGTATGAGGTACTCATCACACTGGCATCTATAGGTAATGCATTTTTAGATGCAGCAGAGAGAGACTTGCTTGGCTTTTAACAGTCTGAAAATATTCTTTCTTAGAGCCTAATTAAGATATAACTATTACTGATGCCTTACTGCTTTATAACAGGCTATTTGCTATTATACACAAGGACTTTGCAGAGAAATGCAGTTAATATGTAAACAAGCCTGCAGAATAAAACGAAGCTGTAATTTACACCTCCCCTTGCAACTGCTCATTTTTGCAGGCAAAAGAATGTTTTACCAATTGCTAGAATTACTTGGAAGTGAGGGGGGAGATGATTCGAATCAGGCATTAAAGTATGATCACTGGTTTCTAGATAAAGGAAACATTTCAGGACATGATCTGGGAAAATTCCCAGAAGCTTGGGAGCCGTGTCCCAGGGTGGGATTCTGAGCAGGAGACTTCAGTAGCTGTTTTTCTGCCTCATTCTTGTGACCCAGGTCAGTGTTTTCAGCTGCTTTGCTGCTGTTCACTCTAAGTCAACAAAGGACTTATGTGTACCCTTAACTTTAAGTAGGGCTACTTAGATATTTTTTTCAAGCCAAACACCCAAGAGAATGCTGTTCTGAGGACTCAAGGGAACAGAGGAGAAGACAAATTTTCTGGTATTCATTTCAGACAAAAGCTATAAAAATAACCCTGAGATAGCCACGGTTAAAAGCAGAGGACTCAGAGCTGCTCTGCACAGCCTGATCAGGGCACACAGGCAAAAGTGCTTCTGCAGGTCAGGGCCAGCTCTGTGCAAGGCTGCCTGGTTGGGTAGAAGTCAGCCAGAGGCAGCACCATGTTTGGCACAGCAGGATGTACCGAAGGCATGGAGAAGCATCGATCCAACTGAGGCACACCAAAGTGTGGGAAACCTCTCCAGAACTTCCCACAGGATGTTTGGGAGTCTGGTCAGAGGGGCTGCATGACAAAGGGAAGCATGCTTCCTCCTCTTTACTTTCCAAGGTTTGGGATAAAGCAGAAAAGACATGGCTGGAAGCAAGAGGAAGAAGTGGGAGCAGTTACTCAGTGTAAATCTGATGGCCCCCTGTGCCCAGAAGTGTGGCTGGTGGTTGTCAGTGACCTGCTCTGAGTGGGAGCTGGGACCAGAGACCTCCCATTGTCCTTTCCTATTCAAACGACTTGGTGACTCTGGATTTCTGGAACTTACCACTCAAAGAGCTCTAGCTCTCATCATGAGCGTTTATTCTTACAGACGGACAACAAAACCGTCTGTTTGCCAAAACCCCTCTAGTAGAACCACTACAGCATCATACATCACCATTCAAACTCTTCTATACTGAAATGTCTTACACTGTTACATGGCGAGCTATATGGGGTGAACAAGGCAAGGAAATGCTGGAACCACTTCTTATCTCCCAGCAGACAATGGTGTTGGTCACTCTTCTTTTGAGGTGAGTATAGGCATATCATCATGTCCCAGGTGTCTCCATCAGTGACAGAAGTGTGTCTCATGACCTCTGGGAAAATTGACTTTGCCTTCACCTTTGCAAGGCTGATATTTCATTCCAGGAAGCACTTCAAGTCTCCAGCTAAAGCTTTCTAACTTTTGGTTTTGACAAACCCAGGCTTCAAGTGTTAGGGCCTTTTGGCCACAGAGAATGAGAAATTGAAAAGACAAATGCAGAAAAGGAGATAAAACCAACAAAAACCCTTAACAAATCCTTGAAGCTTGAAACTTAGTTTAGATTATAAAAACATTCATTATTTATGTCAGAAATAATAGGCTGTGTCAGGTTTTATTTGCGACTGCCTAGGCTGCAGATGTTCCCCAGAAGTAACTTAGAAATGTTAAGGATGTTTCCCAGAGGTGTTTTTGTCTTGTCATAGATTGCTTATGAGAGGTTTTGTTTATCATAAATGGTGTACCTTTTTCATTATGTCACTCTAGCATTTATCTTCCCTGAGCAGGCAAAATGTCTGTGCATTTTTATGAGCATGGCCACCTCTGCTGCAGTGTTTGTTTCAAGCTCCCAAGCCTCTCTTCAAAGGAAGGTAAGCATCAATACCCATATTTCACCAGTGGAGTAACCTTCACGCACACACACAAAAAAAAGAAGTGACTGGCATAGAGGCTCTTGGCAGAGTTGTGAATAGAATAATGGGGGTCTCCTGAGCCTGGTCTTGCATTATAATGGGTTTCCATTGGACAATGAGAGATTCCACAGATACTTTCAATAGATGCTCTTTTTTTCAGCTCTCAACCTTTATCTAGCATCTAAATGACAGCTGCAAAGAGACTATCTTCTTACTCCTTAATTGTGCAGAATGGGGTAGATTTGGAAAAGAGGTCAATGGGTAAGATTTTCAAAAGCAGTTAAACCTATTTAAAAGGTAATGAAATTTAGGCTCCTAAATTGCTCATGAGCTCACCACCCAGAAACAGGGCCAGAGTTTCAAACAAATGCCGTCTGCATTGAGAAAAATACACGAGGACCCATTTTTCAAAGGCTCTTGGAGAGCTGCAGCTGCCACAGTGACAGCTACAGGCAGATTTCCAAAGGGACCAAACACTCAGTGTTCTGAGGTCTTTTGAAAGGCACTGATCATTTATTCTACATACCTAAATGGACTTCTTTCAAAAATCCAGTGCAACAGAGGGGTTCTGAGCCCCTGTCAGGTCCAATGGGAGATGCTCTGGTGATGAGAGCCAGAGAACACTGCTACGGCCACCTGCAGACTCTGAGGCTGGCACAGCCAGTGCCTCAGAGGGCAGGAGCACACTGGCTGCACTGGGGCATGCAGCCCATGCAACATCCTCCACACCAGGCACCTCCAGCACCAAGAGGACAGGGGGAGTAATGGCAATCATCCCCTGGAGAGCATGGCTCTTTGACAAGGGGGTCCTGTTTGTTATCTTGCCACAATATGAGTTTTGTTTGCCTCCTGTATATGTCCTCAGAGAAGACAGATAAACTCCCTTCCACAGCCAAGTATCAGGAGAGGAGTCCCTGTGCTCAGGGCTCCGCTGTTTCTTGATAACTGGATTACAGGGCGTAGGAGCCAGTGAACGAGGGATTACTCCCTGATGAGCCTGCAAACTGTAACATCCGCTGATTTACCAAATATCCTGATCCCGCTGATTTACCAAATATCCTCCTTCTGCAAACTGCTCATGTCCCAGAGGAAACTAAGTGGTAGAAAACATCCCATTTACAATCACTTCAAGCCAGTTCTTCACTTTTACTGTTTTCCCCTCTACCTTCTTACATCCCACTCTGTGTCTCAGTTCACTGCTCTGTTTCAGTCACCAAAGTTAACAACAACCGTTCACAACCAGGTAATTTTCTAACCCAGTCCATTCCAGGGATCTGATTTACATAAGAGCTTTACAGACAGTTGATTACATTAAATCTTCTTTTTCTTTTTTTTTTTTTTTGAGCAGTGATCTGGGCTCATACCTGCATGAGTGGAGGTCAGAGGGGCTGTGGAGGGATGAATATAACTCACAGTGTAAAAGTCTCCTGAGTGAATACTATGTGCTGGTTTCTTGAATGTGTAAAAATCGAAATGAAGCATTGTCAAGTTTTGTCCTTTGTCACATGGCTTTGCTGATGCACAGCCTGTACTGCAAATGAAGATGAAGGCCACACAATATGAAGCACTCCCACTGTGCCTTTGAAAATTGCTTATTCATCCTAAATTGGACAACTCCTTCAGTTTGTTATTGAACTTCATAAATCCCCTATTCACTTCCAGCATCTCATCATAACACAGCCATCAAAAACTGACACAGCTGGAAGGGATGTCTGAACTCCATAGCACCTAGGATGTGTGCTCATAG